GAGAGAGAGAGAGAGAGAGAGAGAGAGAGAGAGAGAGAGAGAGAGAGAGAGAGAGAGAGAGAGAGAGACGGCACAGGGCCACAGGCAAGTTCTGCGCCCCTGCTTTCCCATGCCCATGAAAATATAAGAGCTAATCTCCCACTGATGTCCCACACAACAACACGTGGAGGAAATTTCCTCTCTCTCTCTCTGTGCCACACGCACGTACACACTCCAGTGCCTGTCGTGCCCTTGAAAAAGAGTGAATGCTTTGAAGCTGGACAATTGCTATAAAGGCAGGAGGAAATGTAGGAGTGTCTGGGCAAATAAATATTAAATAACTATCCAACCAGGTTCTCCTTTATGACATCGCTGCAGAAGAGTGACCTATAGGATACCTGTAACAAAATTCCTAATCTTGTGTGGTGAGATGTGCGGTGTTGGAGAACGAGATGGCAGTCATAGCCGTGCAATCAAATTCCACATCATATTCCAGACGAGCATATATTCCTCACTATTATGATCCCATCTTTGATTTCCAGAAAGTGAATGACCAACTGCAGCGGAGAACAACCTTTTACCTATGAACCTTTAACCTATCCCATCGTACACACCACTTACTTCGCTTATGATGCACTACTAGACATAACCTTTTGCCTATCCCATTGTACAAACCACTGACTTCGCTTATGATTCTACTACTAGACATAAGTGACATATTTTATGACAGTCTGCGAATTGCTTATTGAGAGACAAATAATGGGCCATTGTCGAACGCGTGATCAACATCAACGCCCAGGCTCATCTTCTTTTCTTTTCTTTTCTTTTCTTTTCTTTTCTTTTCTTTTTTTTTTTTTTTTTTTTTTTTTTTTTTTAACGCCCAGGCTCATCAAGAGGCCTGCAGTTGAAGTCTAGAGTAACTGGGTAATTTGAGCAGCTCAGTTCCCAGAAGAGGCCTGCAGGATGCAAATGTATTGCAGGCGAACAAACATACACTCAGTATTGGAATGAACCCTCACACAAGTCAATTTGAAAACGCTACGGCGCTCATTAATAGAGGATTTATATGACTACTGACATTTGCATATCAACTGTTTTCCACAGTTCTCCTCACTTTTCCACTGCACACTCAATTTGTGTCTTTACATATAAGCTGTCCTTATTTGATCTGCACTCTCGTATCCTTTCCTTTGTTCTCATGAACCAGTTGCTGTTCTTTTTTTTTCTTTTTTCTTTTTTTTTTTTGACAAATGTAGAGGATTCTTGCCAGCATTGTTGTTGTTCATTCACCATTATTTTCGTTCTCGACAAAATCGACCATTAATGTATTTCTGCATGTCATCCTGCATACTAGGGCTATGCTAATCTTCACTGTATCATTCCCATTTTGACGGATGTTCCGAAGGACTTCCCTCGGTTTCTGAAGGCGATTTCTTGAAGGACTTCCCTCGGTTTCTGAAGGCGATTTCTTGAAGGACTTCCCTCGGTTTCTGAAG